TATTTTTGGGTCTCAATGCTCCATTTTTGTGTCTCCACCCCCCATTTTTGTGCCCCCACCCCCATTTTCGGGGTCCCCCCCCCGTTTCTGGTACCTTGTACCGGCTGCCGTAGGTGAGGTCGAGCTCGGACTCCTCGGGCCGCAGGAACATGCCGGGTTTCTTGGTGTTGAGTTTGGCGTAGACGGCCTCGCGCGGCTGCACCCGAACCACCAGCTCGTTGCGTTTGCACTGGCGGGCGAAGATGTCGCCCGGAACCTCCCGGAACTGCAGCCGCACCTCGGCCTTGCGCTCGTTCAGAGCCTTCCCACAGCGCAGCACGAACGGGACACCTGGGGGGGCATCATCGTTGTCATCGTCATCATTGTCATCATTGTCATCGTCAACATCAACTCATCAACATCATCAACTCATCATCATCATCAACGTCATCATCGACATCAAATCATCATCATCATCATCATCACCATCATCATCATCATTGTCAACATCAACTCATCAACATCATCAACTCATCATCATCAACATCATTGTCAACATCAAATCATCATCGTCATCATCATCATCGTCATCATCATCAACGTCATTGTCAACATCATCATCATCACCATCAACTCATCACCATCACCCCCCGTCCCTCGGCCTTGCGCTCGTTCAGGGCCTTCCCACAGCGCAGCACGAACGGGACACCTGGGGGGGCATCATCGTTGTCATTGTCATCATCATCATTGTCATCATCGTCATTGTCAACATCAACTCATCAACATCAACTCATCATCATCAACAAATCATCATCATCATCAACGTCATCATCATCATCATCACCATCATCGTCAACATCAACTCATCAACATCATCAGCTCATCATCATCAACATCATCGTCAACATCAACATCATCATCGTTGTCAACATCAACTCATCACCATCAACTCATCACCATCACCCCCCGTCCCTCGGCCTTGCGCTCGTTCAGGGCCTTCCCACAGCGCAGGACAAAGGAGACACCTGGGGGGGCATCATCGTCATCGTCATCATCATCAACATCATCATCGTCATCGTCATCGTCATCATCATCAACGTCATCGTCAACATCAACATCATCAACATCATCATCATTGTCAACATCAACTCATCACCATCAACTCATCACCATCACCCCCCGTCCCTCGGCCTTGCGCTCGTTCAGAGCCTTCCCACAAAGGGGACACCTGGGGGGGCATCATCATTGTCATCATCATCATCATCATCATTGTCATCGTCAACATCAACTCATCAACATCATCAACTCATCATCATCAACAAATCATCATCATCATCATCGTCATCGTCAACATCATCATCATCAACGTCATCGTCAACGTCATCATCACCATCAACTCATCACCATCAACTCATCACCATCACCCCCCGTCCCTCGGCCTTGCGCTCGTTCAGAGCCTTCCCACAGCGTAGGACAAAGGGGACACCTGGGGGCATCATCGTTGTCATCGTCATCATCGTCATCATTGTCATCATCGTCATCATTGTCATCGTCATCGTCATCATCGTCATCATCATCGTCAACATCAACTCATCATCATCATCAACGTCATCGTCAACTCATCGTCATCATCATCAACGTCAACATCAACATCATCATCATCAACATCATCAACATCGTCTTCGTCAACGTCATCGTCATCATCAATTCATCATCATCATCATCATCATCATCATCATCATCAACGTCATCGTCAACATCAACGTCATCAACTCATCATCATCATCATCGTCAACATCAACTCATCATCATCATCAACGTCATTGTCTACATCAACTCATCATCATCATCGTCATCATCATCATCATCATCATCATCATCATCATTGTCAACATCAACTCATCAACATCATCAACTCATCATCATCAACGTCATCGTCGACATCAAATCATCATCGTCATCGTCACCATCATCATCACGGTCACCACCATCACCATCATCACCATCATCACCACCATCACCATCATCACCATCACCATCACCATCACCATCATCACCA